GAAATTACCTTTCTTTGATGCGAGTCTCAGTCTCTCAGAGATGCAATATGCGCCTTAAAGTGATTATGCATTGGTATTAGAGAGAGCATCACGGCACTTGATCAGTTGATCTCACTGTACCACTACATTATCTTTGTTTTCTTCAAACTAGTTTTGGCCTCATCTGCTCTTTAGCTCTTTACTGGTGCAATTGTTGTCCGGTTAGCCTTAGAACCATATAAGGCTTGTGTTAGAGTTATCCACTGCATGTCATTTTGGTATTTCAGTGAACTGCTTAACCAGAGTGGTTTTATGCATGCTGTCCCATGAAAATCTTCAGTTATAAATCTCTTTGCTTTTTCTGCAAAAGATAACTTGAACTAACCATCAAAGTAGTAGATTTTGTATATATAGGTAAGATCTGTGCTATTCTCATGAGGCAATCCATTACGCTGTCATCCACAAGCAGATTCTGCAATAACAAGGAATAAAGAAAGATGAATCTAATATATAATAGGCTCAGTCTGATTCTTGGTTGAAAGTGTGAAACATGGTGTGCATGCATGCGTGCATGTGTGCGAGCCCGAGAGAGAGTGAACATGAGAGGTAGAAGAAGAGAGAACGTAATTGGGCTCCATATAAGTAGGAAGTGACAATTAGAAATTAGTATGTTATAGACTATAATAAACTAATCTAGCAAGGATAGGTTCACAGATTTTCATCTACTGGTATTATACAACATAAACTAAGTATACATCAAAAACATTCCTGCAATCTGGTGACAAATCAGACAGCAGAAATGATATTAACTTTGAGTTTACTAGAGGATCTTTGTTTTCTCGATATAAGTATGTGGAATGTTAATTAGTTTTCTGCCTCTCAATCCCGAGAGTTTCATTCATTGCAGTACCTTTCCCATATTTTTCCTCTTGTAATGCGCTTGCCAATTTCATTTATGGCGTCATGTTAGGATATAATGATGCATGGTTCTGCTTCTCAATCTACATGTTTTAATCTATTTAATAGCTTTTAAAATTTAAAAAAGATGAATAAAGATAGTTGGATGAAACAAGAAGCTAATATATATATATATAATCGGGTCTTTGGATCCTCAATTTAAGAAGAGGCGATTAAGTATTATGTACACCAACTTTTATTTGTTCTGTTGCCTGTTGCACTTTTTCTCTCCATATTAAGTGAACAAAAATGCCCAAACTTTTAATTAGTTAGTTGTGGACATCAATATTGTTATCCTCTTGATGAAATGCATTTCTTGTATCCCTGTGGATGCCCCTATTCATCCTTGTTTTTTCCGCTTCATTGGCAGGTTGCAGTTATTGCCCCAAACATCCCCGCTTTGTATGAAGCTCATTTTGGAATGCCAATGGCTGGTGCTGTTTTAAATGCAGTTAATGTCCGACTAAATGCGCAAACAATTGCTTTTCTTTTGAGCCATAGTGCAGCTGCTGTTGTCATGGTGGACCAAGAGTATTTTCCCTTAGCCGAAGAAGCTTTAAAAGTATGGGAAAATAACAGAAAAGGAAAATTTAAGGCTCCACTTCTGGTTGTAATTGCTGATAAAAACTGTGATCCAACACCGGTCCAATATGCTCTTGAGAAAGGGGCAATTGAATATGAGAAATTCCTAGAAACTGGCGATCCAGACTTTCAATGGAAGCCACCAGAGGATGAGTGGCAAACTATTGCTTTGGGCTATACTTCTGGCACAACAGCTAGTCCTAAAGGAGTGGTGCTGCACCATCGTGGCGCTTATCTTATGGCTCTGAGTAATGCTGTGATTTGGAGTATGCAAGAGGGAGCTGTGTATTTGTGGACTCTACCACTGTTTCACTGTAATGGTTGGTGTTTCGCTTGGACACTTGCTGCAATTTGTGGGACTAACATATGCCTTAGACAGGTAATTCCGTGGTTCTTTTTCTGCACATGGAGATTCTCATGCCCTATTTTTGCAACTTAATAGAGAGCAGCGCGTAATCTGCTTTGTCATAGGTATGCCAAACTAATTGGCACATGAAAAAATAGATTTCAGCTATAGTATGCTTTGACCTACGAAGTATTGGATTACCAAATCCTAATTGAGTAAAATGGACGACTGCAGTCATAATTGTTTATTTTCACCATACCTCCTAGTGCTGACATTTAGAGAAAATTCAGACCATGTAGAATGGACAAGGGACAATAGTGTTCGGGTCTATTCTGAAATTGGACACTAAGGCGGGAATTTATTAATTATAGGGGGGACATGACAGGAGTTTGGCTAGGTAGTAGGCAACTCCGTTTCTTTTCTTCCCTTTTTGGAGTTTGGTTGAATGGGTTTTCATTTTGCTTAGTAGGTTTGCAGTGTAAAACATAATTATCTCAACAATCATTAAAATGGGAGCACTTGGCTCTTGATGTCTGTTACTAAGTTGGAGGAGGTAAAAAGAAAATGCTTTTTTAGTTGGTTTGAACACACTGCTCCTTTTTTCTGCTTTGTTTCTGGCTCTTTACAAGCTTCCCTTCTGTTTTCTCGTTTCCTGCATGCAGGTAACCGCAAAGGCTGTTTACTCGGCTATAGCCCATCTTGGTGTGACTCATTTTTCTGCTGCTCCTGTGGTTCTCAACACCATAGTTAATGCCCCAAAAGAGGAGACCATCCTTCCTTTGCCTCGTCTTGTGCACGTCAGCACAGCCGGTGCTTCTCCTCCTCCTTCTGTTCTTGCAGCAATGTCACAACGTGGCTTCCGTGTCTTACACACTTATGGCCTTTCTGAAACCTACGGCCCCTCGACTTTATGCACGTGGAAGCCCGAGTGGGATTTACTTCCCCCAGACGTCCAGGCACGTCTGCATGCACGCCAAGGTGTCAGATATGTTGGTTTGGAGCAGTTAGATGTTGTTAGCACGAAAGACATGAAATCTGTCCCAGCAGACGGAAAAACAATAGGAGAGATTGTATTCAGAGGTAATGTTGTGATGAAAGGGTACCTGAAGAATCCTAAAGCTAACGAGGACGCTTTTGCTGGAGGCTGGTATCACTCGGGTGATCTTGCAGTTAAGCATCCGGACGGATATATAGAAATTAAAGACAGATCAAAGGACATCATCATTTCTGGCGGTGAAAACATAAGTAGTGTCGAGGTCGAGAATATCCTATATCTACATCCAGCAATACTAGAGGTATCTGTAGTGGCAAGGCCGGATGAGCAGTGGGGCGAGTCGCCTTGTGCATTCGTGACATTAAAGGCTGATGTGAAGAAAACAGACCAACAACAGTTGGCAGAAGATATTATAAACTTTAGTCGATCGAAAATGCCCAAGTACTGGGTTCCAAAATCAGTTGTGTTTGGACCATTGCCAAAGACTGCTACTGGAAAAATACAAAAGCACTTGTTGAGGACAAAGGCAAAGGAGATGGGACCAGTGAAGAAGAGTAGATTGTAATTATAATGGTCGGCAGCTAAACAATACAGAAGCAAGTTTCTCATTAGTCATTATCAATAATTTTATGCTACTTTGGTCAAGAAAAATAATACAAAAGCAACTTCTGAGTTTGTCTTTGTAGCTTAGGGTCGACATATCTCTATTAGTGGCGGAAAATTACATTGTATGATAAATTTTTCTGTTTAATGTATATTTGTTGACTCCCTTAAACTTTTTGATGTTTCTATTTTTATTTTTTTTAATATTTTGACACCCCTTAGGTGAAAATTCTAGCTCCACTACTGATCTCTATGTATCTTTGGTCTTTATTATACATAAATAAGACTTGCGTATTAGCTGAACCTTTCTTATATTTCTTACGTGAAACAAACACTTTTCTTTGTTAGTGTCCTCTTGACTAGGCAAATTAATTATTACTATATATTTTAGGATGAAACATACTAATAACCACTTTATAATTTTAAAACGTTGGTGATTTTTCGTGAGTTTTAAAAATTAACCTTATAAATCATGTTCATTGCTAAGAAATTAGCTATAAAATACGCGTTCATCACTTTAACTCGCACGAATGATACATGGCCCGCGACACATTAGATCATCGACTGCATTTAGTTTGGTAATCATTCATATAATTTTCACCTAGACCGATAATCAAGGTAGAAATAGCCCATTGACCATTTTTTGGGGGGAAATTCAAAAATAGCCAGATTTACAACTGGTCGTTCAAAAATAGCCCAGTTTCAAAAGTAATCGATATTTAGCCACTTTTCATGTAAAGATAAATTTGAGCGAAAACACTGTTCAAAACCCGGAAAATACGCCAGCATATTATGCTGGAGTTCCAGCATAAGTATACTTGAACTCCAGCATATTATACTGGAGTTCCAAGATAAGTATGCTGGAACTCCAGCATAATATGATGGAGTTCCAGCATAAGTACACTAGAACTCCAGCATAATATACTGGAGTTCCAGCAAGTATACCGGTCCAGCATAATATACTGGAGTTTGGAGCACCGGTGCTCCAGTCTCCAGTATATTATACTGGAGCCAGCAAAGTATACCGGTCCAGCATAATATGCTGGAGTTCATACACAGGTGCACCGAACTCCAGTATATTATGCTGGACCGGCCTCTGCTGCAGCAAAATAGTGGCTATTTTTCATTGACTTGGTAAACGCTGGCTATTTTTGAATGACCAGTTCGAAAACTGGCTATACCGTGCTATTTTTACCATTTTTTGGCTCTGTCTACAGATCCTTTTTAAGCAAGCTAAAAATCTGATGAGGAAATGTTAGACTACGGTCGAAAATTTTGTATGGTATTGTAAACGTTAGACCACAGTCTAATATTTTATGAGCAAACTAAAAGTTATGTGAGCAAGCATTAGACATGAATTTAACATTGTCCGAAAGGGATAATTTTTCAAAGGATATATTTGCACAAAATTTGAAAATAGGGACAAAATCTAAACAATATCCTAAAAATGGACACTTATACAAATCAGCCGAAAAGTGGCTATTTGTGATTTTTCCACAAGCGACTTGAAGCCATTTATATTCGGGTTATGACTCCAAACCCGTGAACCCATTTTGAATCTGACCAGTGTAAAGTAACCCGCCATAAATGATGAAACTAAACCTACAAAATCCGCCGGTTGCCGCCCAACCACAAGCCTCCTCTTTACCTAAGATCATTTGAAATTCAAACTTTTCAATGCAACATTTTCTTTTTTCCAATATATTTGTCCTAAATTAATTGCAGTTTCATTTTATCAGAGCTGCAATGAGTGATCCAGCAATTGAATCAAATGACGCACAGTCAAGCTCAGAAGAAGCTCAAAAGCCTCAGATTGAGCCTATTCGGATGCCTACTGTGGAGGAAATAAGAGGACAAGACATTTGGAACAACTGTGCTGTTCGTAGTGTTGTTAGTGGAGTCATGGGTATGTTTTAATTACACTCCTAATTTGATTTAATTTTTTTGTCATATTGTTCAGTTTTATGGTCATGTCATGCGTCGACCACCAGATGCACCGGTATGTAGTTGTAAAACCATGGCTAGTGAAGGTATTAAACGAGGACGAGATAGAAGTAAAATCACATGGAATGAAGTTGTCTGACCTACAATTTCTAGGAGACATTCAGACTAAGCAAAATATAGGGCACACTAGAAGAAATACAGTGGTGGAGCTAAGATTTGAACTTTATGGGTTCTAAATTCTAGGATAGCAACATAATGTGTTAGTGATTGGATTCTGAATTTAATTTTGTATATATTTAGTGAATTTTTTAATATAAATACAAAGTTTGGACTAAAGCTACTAGGTTCGGCTAAAACCATGCGTCGGCTTCTAGCTCCGCCCATGCATACATATTAGTTGAGAATATGTTCTAGGAGTGGTTTAGCCTTTTAAAGATTTATACATTTTGGAATACTTGTATAATATTGACGTGAGATGAGTTTAAATGGAATAACATAGTCGACAAGGATTCATATAGTTGAACCCAACTTGTTTGAGACTGAGACGTATTAGCTGGTATTTTTGTTTATTGTTTATTGTTATTTTAAATGGATAGTCCAAATTGTCATTCTTGCAATACCTTAACATAATGGATGACAATTCTTGTCTATGTCCAAAAAATTGGATGACACTATTTCTATGTTTTATGTCATAATTATGTTACAAGTGCCAAAGTAATACAAGAGTCTTTAATGTTAATCCTGTTGCAATGACTGTTATTCTCTTGTAGTCCTGTAGTAGAGGATAAGTGAGCTTCATTCCAGTTAGCTTACAAGCTCTATCAACTGTTGTTGTTTGTGAACAAAATCTGGTTCCAGAGCTTCTCTTTGTATCTAATTTGGTAATTCTTTCTGGTAACTTAAATGGAATATCTCTGTGTATGCTTTGGACTTTTCCGTGAGGTTACTTCTTAGGCTCATTTGTAGACGCATGGTTTTCATTTTGTAGGAGGGGGACTAGGGTTGTTCATGGGTCTGTTTCTAGGGGCGCTGGATAACCCAATAATGCAAGAGGAAATGACTACGAGGCAACAACTTGTATACCAAGCAAAGCAGATGGGTCGAAGGAGTTGGAGTTCCTGCAAAACTTTTGCTGTTATGGGTTTGGTTTTCTCTGCTGCTGAATGTGTCGTTGAGAAGGTAAATTTGACCTTAAAGATGATAACCATATGGGGTTCTATGTACCTGTTTTACAATTTTCCTGTTAATTTTTGGAAAAAACGAAAAGAAGTTGGAAATCATTCTCACAATTAGAGTCGGGTACTTTTCATCTAACACTCAAATGCTATAAGTAATCATTTTCTTGTATTATGTTAAAAGGCACGGGCAAAGCATGACATGACAAATACAGCAGTAGCAGGGTGTGTAACAGGAGGCACATTATCTGCTAGAGGTAATATTTGTTACTTTGACCATGCAAAATATATACAAACGAAATCTTGACTTGATATATTTTCATATCTTGCATCTGTTACTGGATTCATATAGTTTTGGTTTAGATAGAGCGACATGGATAGTGAGATTCATATAGAGACGAGCAGAGTAGTAGTTTCAGACCAAAAAGCAAAAGAAGAAATTTCAGGGTCATGTCATCAGAAATGTAACTCACACCATACAAAGAAGAAAGGCAAAATCAAATGTTTAGTGCAAACTTTTTCCCAAAGAGGTATCGGCTACTTAAAGCGAGAGTGCATTCAAAAATTCAAGAGTGCGTTGGTTGAAACAATTGTGGCCAGTCCCAACTAGTCTGGAGCTAAGGCGTTGATGTTGATGTACCTTTCTCATAAAACAAAGACGTTGACATTGATATTGATGTTGTTGCATCTGTTCCTCGATCTTGTTATATATGCTTGTACTGCTAATTTTACTTGAATGATATATTAGCCTGCCTCAGTAGAATATTTTTGAGACCTACATGAATATAATGTTGTATAACATTTTGGGCTTGGGGCAATCAGGATTGCAGTAGGATTTCTTTTTGGTGGGTGTGGAATAGGATAGGGTTTTGCTGTTAGTGGGAGACAGATATTTAACATCAAATACAGATGGAGCAATACATGTTCTTATAGTAGGTCATTTTAATTGACATGAGTACTAGGATAAGATACAGAAATTTATGGGGGCTTAACCTGAGCCTTATATAAATAGTGTTGCTACCAGTTTCTTATTACAACAACAACTACCCAGTAAAATCCCATCAAGTGGGGTCTGGGGAGGGTAATGTGTATGCAGACCTTACCCCTACCCCGATAGGGCAGAGAGGCTGTTTCCGATAGACCCTCGGCTCAGAAAGATGGAAATAAGAAAAACAAGAAAAGACAATTCATTAGTAACTCTAGTAGAAATCGTAATAGTAACAGAAGCATAACAATCAAAAGATGGATGACATGCAATAACAGTAACCAGGCCCGGGGCTCAAATAAACAGCAAGTATAGTGTGTATTCAACATAAACTGCAAGCCATCTAAGGCCAACCCTAATCCAACCCCGCCTCACCCCCGGAAAGAAGTAAGAAAAGTTCTACTACCCCCTAACCTACAATCCTAATGCTTGACCTCCAGACCATCCTATCAAGGGCCATGTCCTCGGAAATCTGCATTCGTACCATGTCCTGCCTGATCACCTCTCCCCAATACTTCTTAGGCCTCCTTCTACCTCTTCTCGTACCCACCACGGCCAACCGCTCACACCTCCTTACCGGCGCATCAAGGCTTCTCCTCTGCACGTGTCCGAACCATCTGAGCCTTGCTTCCCGCTTCTTGTCATCCACAGCGGCCACACCCACCTTCTTCCGAATATCTTCATTCCTAATCTTGTCTATCCTAGTGTGCCCGCACATCCACCTCAGCATCCTCATCTCCGCTACCTTCATCCTCTGGATATGTGAGTTCTTAACCGGCCAACACTCTGCCCCATCCAACATGGCCGGTCTAACCACAGCTCTATAAAACTTACCTTTGAGTGTCAGTGGCACTTTCTTGTCACACAAAACCCCAGATGCAAGCCTCCATTTCATCCAGCCCGCCCCTATACGGTGAGTGACGTCCTCGTCGATCTCTCCGTCCCCCTGAATCATCGACCCAAGGTACTTGAAGCTATCTCTCTTCGGGATGACCTGTGATCCAAGCCTCACGTCCCTGCCTACTTCCCTCGGCTCAGCGCTAAACTTGCACTCCAGGTACTCTGTCTTAGACCTGCTCAATTTTAAACCCTTAGACTCGAGGGTCTGTCTCCAAACCTCCAATCTCACGTTAACACCAGCCCTTGTCTCATCAATTAGAACTATGTCATCAGCAAATAGCATACACCATGGCACATCCCCTTGAATATGGTGTGTCAATGCATCCATCACCAAGGCAAATAAGAACGGGCTAAGCGCAGAGCCTTGGTGTAATCCCATAACAACCGGGAAATGGTTTGAGTCGCCTCCACAGTCCTAACCTTAGTCTTAGCTCCATCATACATGTCCTTGATCGCTCTTGTGTAGGCTACCGGCACGCCCTTAGCCTCAAGACATCTCCAGAGCACCTCCCTAGGAACCTTGTCGTAGGCTTTCTCCAAACGTCGTCTTCCTCACCCTCACCTCCACCACCCTCTCTTGACTTAATTCATTATTTATATGTGGTGAAGAAAGGGCGGTGGGTTATTGGGACTGCTTTCAAAGGATATTAAGGAAAAGAGTTCTGATTCCTTTAGTTTTCTTAGAGGATAACCTATAGTCGAAGTGAGAATCATAGTTCAAGTATTTTATATTCCATTTGATCCGGGGCATCAGGTAACGTCCAATAGAAACTTCATCCTTCAACTATCAAGATGCTATTTACCCAGATTTCAAGTTTGGGAGATCCCATTCATGAAATGAGCTTTTCTGGGGTGTACCTTGATGTCGAGACCCACATAACTACGTTTTTCGTCTCTTATGACTCCCAGCATAACCTAAGTTCCCAGAGTGAGGGGTTTATTGCAGATTAATGCATTCTCTTAATCTAGCAGGGAATATGCAGCATACTAACCCAGATGGGGCATAGATAGTTGACAATTTATCCTACCCGGGTTCTAATTGGACTTTTGACTCTCTCTCTCTCTCTCTCTCTCTGGTCATGGCTTGTCTTTTGACTTTTGATGATAGTAGATGCTAAGTTTGCTTGTAGAATTAAGCCTATGTCGGTTAGTTTGAATTACAACTTTTCTGCGCCTGATGAAGCGAGTAATTGGACTGTGCTAGTTCACTTATACTTTCTATTAATAGTTTCTTTTAATTTATAATACAATCGCATTCGTTTCAGGTGGACCAAAAGCTGCATGTGCAGGTTGTGCTGGCTTTGCTACATTTTCGGTCCTGATTGAGAAGTTCTTGGATAGATATCACTAATCCTAGTGAGTAATTAGACAATCCGGATCTTTTCTCAGCCTGAAAGTTGGAAGTTACAGCAACCTACATATATATAGTCACATTCTTTTTACCCCAACTGTAAGATATCGATATAATGATATTGGGCAATGTTGTAAACATGCAGCTCACTTCATACCTCATATTTGTCCTCTGTTCACTTCCTTGAGTTTGTGAATCTGGTCCCAGAACAGGGAAAATCTAGCATTAATTTAGACACGTTTAAGACATTTTTGTCTAATAAGGTAGTCAGTTTCTATGAACGGGAACCATGGCGTAACTGGTAAAGTTGTTGTCATGTGACCAGGAGGTCACGAGTTCAAGCCGTGAAAACAACCTTTTGCAGAAATGCAGGGTAAGGCGGTGTATAATAGACTATTGTGGTCCGGCCCTTCCCCAAACCCCGCACATAGTGGGAGCTTAGTGCACCGGGCTGCCCTTTAAGGTAGTCAGTTTCTCTTGTTTGTAATGTATACTTTCCTTACTCCAATAAAATATTGGCTTGTTTGCAAGTCACTCTACCTCCATTTCATTTATGCAACCTTGTCTAAACCCGGAGATTACCAAAAAAAAAAAAAAAATTTGAAATTAGTGGTATTAAACATGTTATTTAGTTTTACAGCTTCAAGATTTTATAGAACTTGTAAGCTTAAACTTACTATAATATTTTGTTGCTATTAAATGAGAAGTCTAAAATTAAATTGTTTACAAATATGATAGTGTTTCATTCATTACAGAAATAACTAATAAGAAAATAGTATCATATAAAATGAAACACGGGAAGTAATTGTTTATTGAATCGGAGTTGATTTACTTGCACTAAAATTATAACAGTAGTTAGTTCTACTTGTATATGATATATAATAATATTAAGATATCATTGTGCTGTATAAGTTGCGCCTAAAGATGGAGGAAGTATTACTTGCACGTATGAGCTTTTGCTCTCGTACAATTAGGGGTGTTCGTCGGTCGGTACGGTATGGTATTTGACATTTCGGTTCGGTATTTTCGGTATTCGGTTTCTTAAAATCCTATACCAATACCGTACCTAATTAAATTCGGTATGGTTCGGTTTTTCTCATTTTGGCTTCGGTTTATTCGTTTCGGTAACTTCGGTTTATTCGGTTTGAATACTAACTAATGCATAGAGCCATAGACTCTAATATTCTCAATTAAATTACTGAAAAATACAAAACTAAAAAATGTTTGTTGACAAAAATTTTATCCAAAACTAGCAAATATCGACCCAAATAGAGAAAATTGTACACAAAACAATATTTGATCATAATGTCTTGTTACTTGTTTAGAGTTAATTGATGAACTTAGAGAATATTGGAAAGTTAAATTATAATCTTTTATATTTATGTTATAATTGATAATATGTGTTTTCTGTAATATAATATATATTTCGGTATGGTATTGGTATTTCGGTATTTTATTTTAAAATACCAAATACCATACCTAATACCAATTTTTTTTAAAACATAAACCAAATACCAAAATACCATATAACAAAAACCAAAATTTTCGATTTCGGTATGGGAATTCGGTATTTACCAAATTATGCACAGCCCTACATACAATATTCCATTAATGACAATTAGACAAAGTATAGTTTCTACTTTTGGTTGAATTTGGTGATGTGTTGGTTTAGGCAAGAAAAAGATGAAGTCTGTATATTTTTATTACAAACAAAAAAGATTTTAAAAAAGGTTTTAGTATTTCTATTCCCCACTTTTGTGAAGAAATAATAAATGAATGAAAATATTTTAGTTAAATAAATATTGACAACTTAATTGTACTTTTTATATACACATTTTTTAATTTATAGTATTAAATTACTACAAATTTTTGCGTAAAAATTGCACGGGGCACCCTATTTGGGCGCCCCCTTTTAACCTGTACCAACTTTGTCTTTCTGTTTGCACCCATACCCACTTTTTTGTTAAAAGCCATTTGAAAAGACTATTTTACCCTTTTTTGTTAAAAGACTACTTTCTCTCCAAGTATACGCTAGTGCTCTACTGTTTCTCTCTCCCGTTATTCGCGTTTTTCGATTTGCTCTTCTCAGAAATCAAACGGTTTTCGTCGTTCTTTCGAATTTTCAACTGCTAGTCGTCGTTGTTACCATATTACGATTTAATCACAGGTACATTGCATTAACTTTCTGGGTTTTGTTTTATGATTTAATTTCTGGTTTTGGGATTTGATATTCATGTATTTATGATAGGGTTTAGTTTGATAGGTTGTTCATGTTGTTAATGTAATTTCTATAAATTCTTCTGTGATTCGGCGTTCAAATTTTTAAAAAATTTCAGAGTTAAACAGATGATAATGATACTTTAGGATAGGAGCTGAAATTTTTTTCATGTTTTGGTATTATTTTTTGATTTGAATTTGTGTTTTGTTTTTTTGGCTGAATGTTTTGTGCCTGCCGAA